AAGCATTTCTATTGAAGATTTCGTTCAAAGTGCTTTAAATATTTTTAATGGGCTCTTTTATTAAAATGAATAGCTGAAAGAGTTGCTAAGCCCATATTTCAAGAACAGTAGAAAGTCAAAACAAGAGAGCGGTTTTGACGGAAACTTAAACATTTCCATAAAAAGGTCTAAAAGTAACTTGTCTATGCTTCCATAGGTTTCTAGTGATACTTATAATATTTATTTACCACTTAAACTTTCTTCCATAACAAATTTTATGTGGTTTTGACTGCCTGTATAGCAAACTCAAACAAATAAACAGACGTAGTAATATGTCCGCAATGAAAACGAAATTCCACACTGCAATAAGTTATTTTATCGTTGCCATTAGCAACGCGCGATCAGCTGAAAATTTTGCTCGCGTCACCTTTTCAGTTTCGGAATTCACTCTTATTGGAATTGTCTTAAAATTGGAGGATTGTTCAGGTCGCTGCAAAATTGCAGCCGAAATATTGTTTCGAAGTCACGTACATATGAGGGGTTTTCGGAAAGCTCTCTCGGAAAATAATTTGAGATTCCTTATATACAAAAAATTTAATACCATGCCTTCAATATGGATGGAAGGTACTTGCTGTCTTATAAGTTATTATATTAATTACGTCTTGCGTAACTCTTCCATTACACGGCTGACCATAGAAACGGATACAGAAATATGTCGGTGAGTTGTCCTGTTAGGGTGAATTGGGTTTTTTCATTTTTGTGAAGAGACATATATATATAGATGTTAAACTAGGGAATTGTTTACTGGATATGCTGTTATATTGGTTAGCAATAGCCCACCGTAATAATTAATCTTGGGATATTGTTCTCCTCCTCCAGGGATCCGATCAAATTGCGAGCATCGAAGATTAGATATAACAAACGTAATCTTGGATTGCTTCTAATTAAATATTCGGGATACTGAAGCTGGAAATAATTTAAGACAAAATATGAATGGAATAAGTATTATATATAGATACGATCGATGATAAAACCGGGATTCAAACAGACGACCACCATGTTATCTTAATTGGTGAAGCAACGTTAGGCATATCGTATATTTTTATTGAGATAAAATAAAGTTAAATCGTTCAGCAGACAAGTTGTGAATTCAAAATATAATATGATTCATTGGAAATCCATGCTACTAGCGGTCATTAAATCTGAATACTTTCCAATTGTACCATTTAAATAAAACACTTTAAACGCGATATATATGAGTTAGATATTTTAAAATTATTTCAATTATGGTAAGAACGTATTTTGACTTGAATGCACTATTACCAATCATTTGTTAGATTTGCATTAACAAAAACACAGTACCTATTTGTATATTGGATAAGCTAGTACTTTATGTATTGTTAAACTAGCTAAACTCTCATATGCGTTATCATATGAAACTAATCTAATATTCCAAAGTATGTATTAACAATAGTTTCAGGCGATAAGCTAATAAAATTTTCAATATTACGCTGTGAATGTCTTTTACGATCCAGGTGCTAAATCGCAAATCCATATAGATTTACTGAATACATGAATTTGGTATAAGGCAATGTGTGTCAAGAGCGGTCTGCTTTCAATCGTTCTCGGTACTTTTATACTAGCTGATGCGGTTTATACACAATAAGTTTAAAGGAAAAATATGTGAATGTTTACCCGGCTATTGATCAAAACGCATTGCGTGGAGGTCGACGGTTTGAATCCCAAAAATCAATTAATACTATCGGCAGGGCGCAACACTTTTTCGTTGCTTGTAGGATTTACTACAGTAGATTTGACATGCAGGAATGTGTCTGCGCCTTGTATTTTTATTTAGAATGTAGATGCAAAGGCCACGAAAACAAAATGAATGAAAAAATATTTGGTTTCAGCTTTTTTTTTTTAATATTAAGTGTTATATGACATAGTGACACAATGTAACTAAATTAAACAAAACAGTGTTTAAGTCGAATTGTTGGTCTTGAAGCATACTCGTATTATACGTAGACAAAATCCTAAATTTATTTTAACTGTTCTAAGCAAAAAAACGTTTTTGTACACGCCTTTAATACAATCATTTATGAAGCAGGTTATTTAACTTGGTCACTGAAGCGCTTCATAATAGCAAACTTTCTGCGTGTAAAACCATAGCGAATGCTTGTTTATATTAATAAACATACCTTCTAGGGAATAGCATGATCGATGCGATATAACAGCCCAACTTTTACAAGAGGGAGCGACTTGAAAATGTGTATTTGGGTCAGAGGCCTTGCCGTGGCTCCAAGCAGGCGCCGTCTCAGTACGCCGGTGGACAAATTAAAGATATAAAAACAGCCATTTCTGTGAATGGCAAATAGTAAACACTGCTTTTATATTACTTATTTCACTTCTTGGTTATTCATTTTACCGGTTCTTTTCATGATAGCTGTGTACGGGCATGCGTAGGGTTTACTTGATGGTAGGTAAAATATCCTAGCCATATAACATATTAGCCGACTACCTAATTTGGCTTTGGATATTCGGAAGTCCACTGACGGTAACCGAAACGCGATTAAAATCACTACTTCTTCATCTGTAGACGGTTTTCATATTCAGATTTGCAGATGGCGTCAACATGTTTCAGAAAATTATAAATTGATTAGAAAAATGTTGGACCCGGTGGGGATCGAACCCCGAACCCGTTGCTTATTAACTATATATTGCTCACAATAAAGCTTTCAAAAATATTTGAAATGAATTCGTTAAAGAATTACCAAAATTTCCTGTTGACAATTATTCAAATAAGATTGTAAGAATTAAAGTAAGAAGAAAAGACGACTCGCAGACAATTCCGAGTAATTAAATTTTGGTGCGACTTTCGCGTCTTTGGCCTTTGTAAAGATACGTAGAAAAATTTACAACTTACTTTCATTTATTACTTTAGGTGTAATATTTTTGCGTTGTAGTATATTGTTATAGAATAATTCAGCTTCGATAAATAATGTTAACTTTACAACTTTTAAATGTCGGAACGAATCTTCCTAAAACATGGGCAAGTTTGGAATCACGAGTCAATAAAAACCGATCGCCGTCTTTTACACTTTGTGACATAAACTTTTCGGATCGAGGTCCCCACGGGGCTTTATAACGCTGTCATAATTGAGACGTTGAGAGGGTCGAATAAAAGACATGGGTTACTTTTCATAATTTATTTTTCAACCTAACATATTCGTAACTCGATCACCAGATACGTTAACAGATTTTTACCTAATGAACATTGTTCATACATCTTATAATAATTACACAGTCAGTACCGAAAAAATAAACGTCATTATCACGAAATTTCATTTATCACGAAAATACTATTCTTAACTTTACTAAATTCCTTTTACTCAATTCTTAGAGAGCTCGTGAGGAGAAATAAGGAATATCTACAATGATTGGTAAATATTAATCTATTGCTTATTATATAAGTTCTCTATTTACTGAAAATGTTAAAATCTTTTAGGTAAAGTATTAAAGGTTGGAAGACTTTGCGTTATAATTTGTAAAAGGAACAAGAGATTAAAATCTAATCAGCAGATAGATTAGAAATCAAAGTGAGTAATTGGAATGATACATGTGTTAGTCGGGTTGTAAATATAATTCGAAGAAGTGTAAAGGAAACGCAAATAGAGTTAACGACAACGTATTCAACTCTTACTCTACACATAAAAATCCATGTCTATGGACCACTTCGTCTCAAGTTTTATATTATATAATTAGAAATAGGAAAGGCACAGTCGAAGTATAAAATTTATTGCTGACGTCCCTAACTAGTACGCTCGACTATTTATAACAATAACTACAGACACAATATTTATAATGATTGGAAATTATAGAGTATGCGAGAGCTCTATTTTATCTAAACATCAATGTCAGTGATGAAATATTCACGGTTTAACAATTTACTATCTCCACTATAGTCATTTAATTAAATTTAAATTGATTTATAATTTTGGCACATCTGCGTCCCTTCTACATAAATCTACAAAGAGCTACACAGCATTTCGTAAAATCGCCATACTTGTAGAATCTTTCATTTATTAGAATATTAAATTAACTAAACTTCATATACGTCCATATTGATAGTATATGCTAATTTAAAGTACACATTTCTGTATGAAAATAGAGTTTTTATTTCGAAAATATAATTTTGACTAGAGAGACAAAAGTTGTAATTTGCATATTTTGGTTCTGGAATTATCATTAGTTAGATGTGGGGTAACATATCATACTTATTGGTAGTAAGAATACTACAAATCTAAACAGTCGTTCACTAGAAGTTTCTTCAATAAATGTACATAAATACATATAGGCTCTTCAAATCGTTGGCTTAATCTATGCCTACGTTCAATGATTCGAAACCCGTGTTACTAATGCTTTAGCAACAATTAATTAAACACACATAAGTAAACTCTTTAAAACTATACAAAACAAAAATGACATACAGACACCTATAAAACGCTTAATGTGGTACACGCAACTCACAAGCCATAATTCGTTGCGGTTTTATTTAAGATTAATGTCTTAAAATAAAACAAACAAAAATTTCAACATTAAGCACCGTAATTAGTCAAGATATAGTTTAAAACAAATCATCAAAGTTCATAAAAAATATACCACCACCACAAATTGACTAGTTCTAATAACTATCTATTAAATTTATTGTACTTAGATTGTTTAAAGTCTGAGATTTTTGAACCGGCCGCAAGTTGAAATTTCGGTTTTTTTTGGGTAGAGGTAAAAAGGGAGTGTGTAAATGATTCCAAACGTCTTATCCGTTATTCACAAAACCACTTGTAATAAAATTCATTCCACTTTGTTTTAACACTATAAATTGCTTGTAAGCCATAGTACAGATTTCACTGTCTTTTACGCGTCCTTTGATAGGAAGAGGATAAGGAAGAACCGAAGGGTCAATGAGCACTTCATTAGGTTTAAATGTAGACTTCGTGGTGTTGTTGCGGCCGGCCCTGCCTGGACTAGGAACCACGCTCTGATAGTTCCACTATATCCTCCGGCTCTGGGCGGTTAGAGTCAATTTTACGTCTCTCCGCTATAACAATTCTTATTTTCTCTTCTTCCGTTATCGAGGGGTTAGAACATTCTGTGTCTTTTTGAGATCGAAACGAAGTGTGGCTCATTTCGCTGGGCGTAGCAGATTCCGTAGACGGCCTGCGTTTCACCTTATCTCTTAAACTCTGCCTTGTAGACGGTACCGTAAGCAACACAGGTGCCGGGCGAAGTAACCTCGTTTCTTCACTCCTTAGAGAGTTCCTTTTGTCAATTCGTTGTCTGCGATTTTGTGCGAACGAATCTCGTCTCGGTGGGCTACCCGGTTCCAATTCATCGACATCGTCAGCGTCTATGAACCGCGCATCTTCTTCATATAAAGCCGGTGCATCTGTCGTGGAGTCCTGTCGCCGTCTGCTAAAGGCATGAGGAGATAATGAAGCTCTTCTCTGCGGAAGAGCTGCTGGTAATAAAGCATGATGAGAATGTAAAGTTTTTCGGCGGCGAGGTGATGGAATAGGCTGATGCTTTGGTTCGCTGTATGTGAAATTAGCGGGCAATGATGGTACCTTATTTAAAGGTCGCGGTGGCGAAATACATTGTTCGAGAGCTCTACAGAGGGCTCTGTCTTCTTCGTCGTCCGCTTCTCTTTCCAGTTCACGCTCTAATTCAACGTCCATATCGATTTCATCCTCCATTTGTTTGTGGGATTCTTCTAGGTGTTTCATTAGTACCTATAAATTATAATACATTATATGGTTAACGAGTAAATTTCAACTAAGTAAGGTGAATCGCATTACACTTACAGCGACCACGACGTTGACAAGAACAAATTGAGCCATCAAGACGAACACGACAAAAAATATCGGTGCGATAATAGTTGACACGCAGCAATTCCGTACACAGTCTACTGAACTGTCACAATCTTCTCTTAGCGTGTCTTTCATTATACCATTCCAGTTATCGCCAGTTGCCACCCGAAACAGCGTTAAAAATGCCATTCCAAAATTAGCAAAATGTGCGTGTTCCCCAAGACCTAAAATCATTTTTAGAACATTTTATACACTGCTAATTAGTCAAGTAATATAAACTGTATAATATACCACACCTTGACATGGTATTTCATCCGAACATTCCAATCGACCAAAAAGTTCCACTCCTAAAGCCGCAAAAATGAAAAACAAAAGAAAAAATAGTAATCCCAAATTTCCAACTTGCGGAAGAGCTTGCATCACCGTGTCCAATAAAGCTCGTATTCCTTTTGCCATCTTGAGAAGTTTTAGGACTCTGGCAATTCTTAAGACTCTCATAACCCTCATTATAGTCGGATTAATTGGTATGATATTTGTTTCAAGCTCTTCTAGAACTATACCTACTATAGAGAGTATGACAATTATAACATCTAGTTGATTCCACTTGTCTTTGAGATAAATTTTAAACCCAAGCGCGACAAGTTTCATCGCCGCTTCAAGTATGAAGACGGCGGTGAAGAAATAGTTGAATATTTTTAGAGCGTATTGCAGTGCGGGTGGCATCCTGTAATACTCTATTGCCATTGTGACTACGTTCAGACCAATAACGCCTGCAATTGCCAAATCGAAATATTTGGACGTGACAACATTGTGTACGAACAGGCGTGTTTGCGAATAGTCCGAATAGTAAGGTCTCTGATGCATTTCTGAAATGGAAGTTATTTATTTTTATAATAAAAAAAGAAATTCATTAAAATATTCTTTAAAACTATATACAAAGCAAATATTTTTATCTAAACGTCTCATTAAATTTCTCTGCCTTCTAAAACATCACTTACTTCGTCTCTTTTTTTCCATTTGCAGAGCCCTTTTAGCTGCCCTTCTTACCCTCTCCTCCTTTTCCTGTTCTTCGCGGCATCGGTGGAAATTTTCCACTACGACTCCGACAAACATGTTAAGTACAAAGAATCCAACTAATAATATGAACGCGATGAAGTAGAGCAGGCGCCACTCGGAATAATTCACTATTGGCTGTCAACAGATATATAAATAAAGATTTAACAAAATGTTAGAAATAATAAAAGATTATTTGAAAAAAATATTCCTAAAAATACTTAGTAGATAAATGTTACGTAAAACGTGTCTAAACCCAACCTGTTGATCAACGCCAACCGCATCTAGTCCCGTATACATGATATTGACCCAACCGTCCCTCGAACTAAGCACGAACAACGACATCAAAGCCTTCCCGAGATCATCGAAATTGTATTTCCTGTTCACCCACACGTTTCCCTCTATCGCCAGACAATCTGATTTGTTCTTCACGTTCTTAATGTTGGCGCCTTCACAATAGAAGAACGCGCCTTTGAAGAGCTAAAAGGATCGTTTGTTACATTACATAATAGGGTTGCGACTGATTTCTTTTTAACATTATTCTGGTGATAAATATTTGAATATGCTTGTTTTATCTATACTGTAATAGTAAAGTCTCCATTGTTTTTTGCTGGTAGATTAGAATTACGGGCACGTCATTAACTTCTGCGCTCTACGCTACCTGTATCCTCTTATACTAAGGTCTTGTTACGCAACACGTTTAACCATTAAAATGCGGAAATGGTTTGTTTCAACTAAATCAAATACTCTGAAAGTAATAAAATCTTACCTGAACACCCAAAATACCAAATATTATGAAGAACGTGCAGCAGATTAAAACAATGTTTCCTATAGGTCTCAAAGATGATAGTAACGTTTGGACAACCAGTTTCAAGCCAGGAGCTCTGTTGATAACTCTTAGAGGTCGTAGAGACCTCAGTAATCTGAACACCTATAAATTAGAAATAATAATTAATTAGTAGTGCAGTACAAGTAATTGCTTGTTATTCCCGTGTTAATTTACTTACCCGTAATATGCCGAATATTCTCGGGCTAGATTCAGAGACTAAGGACATTAGTAAATCGATAATAGATATGATGACTAATGAACCGTCCATAATATTCCAGCCCGAAGTGAAATACGCTTCTGAGCCGTAGAACATTCCAGATGCCACTACCTTTAACAATTGAGGTTGGATATTAATTTCATATTTAAGGACATATATACCTTTTTAGCTCGACCGAATGTCGTAGTGGAGGTGGAGGAAAAACGCGTATACTTGATTAAGCTTTGAAACTGGCGTAACTTAATCGAATTTATATACTACTACGTATGTACAACACGGTAAGTTATATATTTATTAATATAACTTACCTTTATAAACATTTCAACAGCAAAAACAACTGTAAAGACGTAATTCGCGCTGGACAAAAAGGCTCTCTCCTTAGAGTCTGGTGGAATGTTTGGTCGCTCCATTGCTAAGGTAATGCAATTTAAAGCAATAAACAATAACACGATGTTATCGAACCAGCTGCGAGTAACCATCCACGTGCATAATCTTCTTATCCTGAAAATTGCGTAAGATTGTAAAGGAACAAATTGTTTTATTAATTTTAAAGCCAAAGTAAAGTTAAAGTTGCAAATGTTATAAATCATTTACCAAAAAGGATATTGCCTAAAGGAAATTACAAAGACGAGAACTGACGCCAATGATATGATGTTATTGGCAAATTGTGACAGCGAGGCTAATGAGGATCAAAGCAATAACCTCTTAGAATCCACAATATCCGTTAATTAGACTTCCTTAATAAGATTTATTATAATCCTTATACTATCTGTATCAACGACTTCTTTTTTGCATAGAATAGCTATTCTAGCTGTGCCAACGATTTTTTTTGGTGCTCAGAATAGCTATTTTGAGCACCAAAACAAATTTGTATAGTTGCAACACTCCTCTTCATTTTTATAAATCGCGACCGACGCAAATAAGCTGTTGCCCACCACGACCTCGGTCGTGTTCCGTCTTCTTGTAAGTTAATTTTCAAAGATATAGTGTAGAAGACATTTTTTTAAAGATTATTTAAAGGATCATTCATTAATTAGTACCCTTTCCGTTTTCTTCACATTTTCCGCGTTCGCTCCTATAAGTCATACCGCGATGTTTTATTAAGACAAAAAGACAGACAGACTGGCAGAGCAACAGCACGGAACGCTGACGATGCCGGTTCAAGTCCTGTCCGAGTCGAAATTTTTTTAAATTTATTTTTGATTTTTAAAAATACGACAAATTAAATTTTTCCAAAACCACCAGTACCTAGATATTAGCGCGTTCAAACAAACAAACCAACTATTCAGCTTTATATATATAGATTACCAGATGGAATACGGTAAACGGTTTGTAAGACTTAAACATTTATACACAGAAAATTAATCTATATAAAGCAATAAATATCGCAATGATAGCAATATGAAAATTATGAAATATGAAAGTTTATTATTTTTTATACGAAACTTAAATAGCGAGGTCAGGCATGAGATGGTTCCGCTTACTTATTATCCGGAGCAAACAAATAGAGGGAGTAATCCTCTTTTTCCTTCAGACATCCTGTCGGCTCCATAAAACGAAAGAGGTCTTTAAACCTCAATCTTCGCCTGTCGAATCGCGATGAAAATACGCAAACATTGTTTATCGACACCTGAAAATAATTTTGACATTACCATCTGTAACCATCAAAGCAATCTCAATAAAGTTGTTTTTGGGGTTTACGAGAGTGGTGCAAGTTAAACTTTTTAACGGTTTTATATGTCAAGTAAGTTAAGTCCTGACCACGAAGTTAAAACCGTTTATATGGTAAACTTTTGAAAAGTAACTTATTGCAGACATGATTCTGATTTTTTAAGGTATGTAGCCTTCTGAAATAGCCTATAGGCAAATGAGCTCCTTTCGTGACAATTATTAAATTAATGTTACATTTTAAATTACCAACTAAAGAAGTAGTTTTTTTTATTACATTATAATATATTTATAGATCTCGTTTTTATTCACGATGGTCTTTGTAATGTTATAGAATTTATTAGGATAGCTGTGTAAAGGCTACTTCCAAGAACTAGCGTAATGATTAATTAATAAAATCAATTTATTATTTAAATAAAACACTTTAACGGTTTAAAACGCGATATATATTAGTTAAAATTATTTTAAAACTGCCCTACGTTTCCTGTTCCGTAACCATGGCTGCTGCAAAGCATCCGAAACGTCTCGGGCCATAGTTAAAAAAAATATCAAATAAGTTTAACAAATATATCGCGTTTTAAACCGTTACAATGTTTTATTTAAATATGTTGTACTCGCGTAATCTACAGACAGTATTTAATCAGTTTTTTAATTAAAGCAATTATTGCATTATCTGGACAAACATATTCAAAACAATATAAATTAAACAGAGCATTTGACCTCAACATCAATTTTGTTAGGTGAGTGGATGCGTACATTTCAATAGCGCTACTTCAAAATGAACAAAGGTTCTGCCATCCAATTAGAGGTGAACGGAGGTGAGTTAATAAATGAAATAACAACCGAAAAATACAAGTTTAAATTAATTCACAAGTGTCGTTATAATTTGAGAACAAACAAAACAACATTAAGGCAGCATATAAATGAAAATCTTTTTAGATTGAAAACTTTAGGACACAGTAGCTCCTTTGATTAAAGCAGCAGCATAGAATTCTGTGAATGCCGGTTCAAGTCCTGCTCGTGTCGTAAAATTTTGTCAACATGTTTATTAAAAGGTTATAAATTTAAAAGCCGTTAGATTTTTACTTATAACATAAATACTGATTTAAATTTGTTAAATACGACAATAATTGTAATTATTATTTTAATGTACGTTTTATTATTGTGAATTCCGTGATAGGCGAATTACACCAGTCACATGACATCCAAATAAAATGCGCTGTCGGCCTTTTATGGCTTTGAATATTCGGAAATTCAGACTAAAACCGAAGCGCGATTAAACTTGACAGCTTTTTCATCTACGGACGGTATTTCGTGACCCGGAGGTTTGATATTTCTACTACTCATTTAATATCAAGGTAGCAAGATGATGATGAGTCAAACATGTTTTATCAACACAAGATGATTACACAACAACACAAGATGTTTAGTCCAACATGTTTTAGAAAAATTATACTTGATTAGAAAAACTGGATACTGTGGGGATCCACGACCTGTTATAAGCCATACATTGCTACCAATACACCAAGAAGCCAATTTAAAATACTATTTGATTAATCATGTTAAATACAATATTAATATCTCGTCTTTACCTAGTCTAACTTTTACCATAAGAAAAATTAGCTCACTTCTTCATTGATTTGCTTGATCAACGGCAGCTGTTGATTGTTCGCCCTGGGCAAAGCTTCGTGAGGTCGAGACGACAATTGTGGTAGTTGACCGCTCGGTGTTAAATTGCTCGCTTTCACTTCCGACACAGTTGTTACTACAATCAATTGTGCATTTAATTGCTATCTAGGCTCTGTTAATTACTTAGAACTGAAGGATGTGCAATTCTATTTGCGCTTGTCAATAGCACGCTAGTAGAGCAAACAAAGCGTTAGTCACTTGTGAAAGCGATTGATTTCACCTCTAAGCTACGATTGATTAGCTTAGGCAAGGAGTTGATTCAAACTTTTGTGCCTGACCGAAATAATTCGTTCTTTCTCCGGGGATTCAAACCCAGAACCACTCAAAATTAAAGCAATGTTAGGCAACATATTTAACCATCAAGCTATAGTGGCGATTCTCAATCTAATAGATTTTTAATTTAAGAAAATCTGTAACTGTAATGAAAATATCTAAAACCCGAAGCTATAATAAAATATAATAGATTACCTGTTAAATAGTCGTTTGTTAACGATAGTCTATGCCGAGGAGTTTTAACAGCATCCAAACGGACCGTAGAATCAGATGAAAACCCTGCTTGTGGTGCTTTCCACGACACCTGTGGTGGATAGATAATTGTAAAAATTGTAGAATCTCTATTATCTGTAGTAACGTAATGGTTATTTAGATCACCTATAATAGTCTGTACTAGTAGGTACCTAAATTATCTTTTATGGATAATCAACGCAGTTATGATTTATAATATTATTAAGCTTTCAAGATCATTGTTTGGTAAATCAACACACTTTACTTCTCCTTGAAAAAAACAAATTCTCAAACATGCTTAGAAATTAAACCATTATTTTTCAAATCTTCTTCGAGAGAAATCGAACTTGCTGTACCTACTGGTCGAGCTGCGGAAGCGAGCTGTTGAATGAATATCTATTATATAGTGTTTAGCGCCAAATATATTATGTAAAATCATATTTATCGTGTAATTTAAAAACGGAACGATCTTGTAATACGCAACATGGCGACCAAAGAGGCAACATATTTTTTGATGAGGTTTAATTTAAATTTCGAATTGGCTTGCACATAGAAAGATGTTGAGTGAAAAAAAACTACACGTTGACGCGTAAAAAACTATAGTTTTTAGTTGTTCGTCAACTTCGTTGTTGGTTTGAACATTCTGAATTGTACTACTAAAACTAGGCATTGATGAACCTACGTGTGTGTGCCTCGGCTTCGCTTCGGCCCACATTCAATACGAGGGGTATTGAATGTTGCCGGCCGTTACTGTGATGTACTTTAAATTTAGAAACTCTGCTATAACAGTAGGTACGCTTACATCTGGGAGTAAAGGTGTGGCGTGTGCTGATACTCTTCGAGCTGGTGGCGCTAGAACTCTCGTAGGGAGCTGACCTCGCAGTCGATTGTGAGGTAGCTCTGACTGCGTGTCGTTTTTTATTACTAGAGACGACGAGAGAAGTATATCGTTTTTTCTATGGCCAGCACCTAAGAACATTATTTATTATGTAAATAAACATTGATATTTCTTTACCTATTTAATACACAACATTTCAAAACAATTTAAACGGTTTTATTAAAAGCAGGCACTTTAAATGCTTTACAGTAATCATGGAAGGAACAAGGCTGCATTTTAAATCATTAAATATGTTAAACTGAATAGGTACCATTCGGGTTAATTTCGAGGTAAAAGCAATAAAAAAGCTCCTAAAACGTTAATTTGTATTTGTTTACCATTGCAGGCAATGTGGTCTCTGCCATTGTTAAGTATGACCGCGTCAGAATCTGAACCAGTTCTTTGTTTCTTCTTTCTTAAGCTAGACCTAGAGAGCCTCCAGCTGTATCCACGTTGTACTTTGCACTTTTCTTCGCCATTTGTACTGGGCGTCGTTATTGTTAAACTTCTGGAGGCGTTTAAGAGATATTTACATAAAAAGAAAGAATATTATTTATTTAAATAACGTTAAAAATAATTGGTGCTTACTTCTGTGAATTAAGCAAACTGGACTTATCACTAACGTTGAGACAATTTTCATCTTTTGCTATTGTTACTTGTAAATTTTTCTCGGGCAGCATTGGAGATGGTAGGGTACGTGGTGTTGTTGTTCCTGGTGAAGCTGCTCTAGATGGTGGTAGAGCTAAAGTTAATGGAGGGGGAGCTAATGACACGGGTAGTCTAGCCTTTTCCGCTCCTAAAGCTGCCGCAGCGGAATGCAAAGTTAATGTGTAACTGTTAGGTGGCTTGAGCAGTCCCGGAATACTTGAACACTGAAAAATAAATAATGCCTTACAAGTTTTATACAAATACGTTTGTTATCATGTATCTCAGTTAAATGTATAAATCTAACAGAAAATATAAAATATGTATCATAGAAATGTTTAAGCTTAAAGAAGATTAACGTACAGAAGTGCGATCGATCGAATCCAAACTAGATAGCATTGATGATCGCTCTAAACTGAGAGCTAAATTGAAGTCTTTGAATGATGCTCCAGGCTCTAAAGTAGTGGACGGCGAATCTTGTGGCGTTGCGGCTGTGTGGGTGATCATAGGAACAACTGTACTACTACTATGCTCATTTATAGAACTCGATGCCAACAGTTTTGATTCCTTAAATAATGTAAATTACATTAATAAGCTAGCTTTATCAATTTTTAGTTAATAAAAAAATGTTAGAATGAAAGAATATGCTTAAATATTCTACACTATAATATATTAATGAAGATCATACTTATTCTATCAGGGCAAAACTATTTTTTATCTAAGAGTCAACCTTTTGCGCTTTTCTTAATGTTTGTATATGCCTTAATAAATTAATTATATACCTTTTGCAAGTTACACTTGTTAGATTGAGCACAATCTTTGCACAGCGTCGGATTATGAGACACCGGTTTCTGTTTTCTTCTGGATTTTATAATTTTATCTTTATTTGTATTAGAATCGTCTTTAGCTTTTCGGATATCGTCCGCAGATTTCCAGAAGTTTTTTATTTCATTCTGTTGTTTAGATAAAAAGTGATATTAATATAATGTAAATAAGGGCAAATAGAAAAGTGATTTACTTTAGTTAAGATCATGAAAATCTGAAATTTTAGATTTAGTTAAACAATTCTAAAGAAAGTTTTACCTGAGAAAAGCTGTCGCTGGAATGTGAGCCTGAGTTCGAATCATCGTAATGTAATTCGTTGTGATCAGAGAAGCATTCACTTGATAACTTCGATTTTGCCAACTCACGTTGCTCTCGCTCTCTTCTTTCGTTTCGCTATAAGTGTTATTTACTTTAAAAGCTGCAATATTATCTATATACTAAAATACAGCGATATACAATCAAACGTTACCTACCTCTGAACTGAACCCCTCCACCAAAATAGCAACGAGTAAATTAAATAGGACATAATTGCCGAATGTCATCAAAGCGACAAAATACAACGCGGCCCAATGGCTTGTTTTTTCCATTCCATTAAATAAAACAACGTTCCAATCTTCCTGTGTCAACACCTGAAAATTTTTATAAGAGAGGATTATAATTTGTTCACTCTACCGTTTATTCTACCACAACATTTACCAAAAAATATTTAAATTTTTTACAAATAAGCGAGGTGTGCTGTCACATCGTGTTCAAGTCGTGCCTCAATGTTGGTATATAAGTTGTAAAGTATTTCAAACGTGAAACGAAATGAACGAAACAAAAATGTTAGTACGGAGCGTGTTAGTGTTAAAGTTTGCCAGTGTTAGTGTTCATTAAAATTACACTGTTTCGGAACTTAACACAGACGGCGGCTTGGAGTACACAAGCAAACGGGGGCATCACCTAATATACAATTTATAAAGCAAGATGCACTAACTACAAAGCATTTCTTGCTAAATGTTCTACTCACTAACAATCTAATTACGAACTTAATACATCAACAACAACGCGCTTCTCGTCTCGTCTTTTGGCTATTCGGGTTAGTGGAATTCTGATTAATACGAGAAACACGTCTACTTAAATCGAATAGGGTCGCAAATAAATCAACAGTGTATTCGTCTACTGGTCTTTCAAAGCTTACCTGAAAGACAGTGACCGTAGCCCATAAGATGTTATTAAAATGTTTTCTGTCACATTCACACTTGGGATGATTCGATATGATCTCAGGGCAAGTACAGTCTCTCTCGGTGCCATTGTCTTCGACGAACTTGCAAAACTTACCACCGAACAAGTACATGCCCAGAATACTGCATGGTGATCCCGATGAGAAAATGAAAGAAAAATAAAATGCTAGGCGCAAACGCCGCGACCGAACCGTACTCATGATGTTTTTCTTCATTGTATCGCACCACTGATACCAATCTCAAATATGATACATATAATAGTAGAATGAAAAATCCTTAATTACTCAATATACTTGAGAGTGGTATCGCGTGTTTCTTACAATGATTTGTTAATATATGTATATATAAAAATATTGTTATGAAAGATTTTAATATAATGTTATTATGTGCAAGTTCCCCAGTAATATTAACATTCATCTTTATATACTGCCTCATTAAATAAAAATGATAGATGCCATAAAGATAAAGAAGAGAAAGTGCAGAGTTCATTCTTAAACATTTCAGAATTCAATTATAGTGATTTGTCATTCATTTAACGCATTCGTAACAAAAAGAACATAATGTAGATAATCAAATAGCAAGAAACTAGGGTACCGATTGAATAATGGTATTTAACATAACATGAAAAATCATAGGCATTTAAGTATGCGGGAAGTATTTTGGAAGAAGTGAAATAATTGCAATAAAAAGAATCATGCTAGGTGACGCTATTTTCGTTGTTCAAATTTCGAACGTATAAATAGACTGTAAACAATAGAAGCAGCATGCAAAGTGATAGAGAAATCGTATAAACCTGAATTTAGTCATTGTTATAGTGGACTCGAATCTTATAAAGTACCGCGACTCGGTTCGATCGACCTGAATCTACCCTACTGATCGAAGCTACCAAGTACAAGTGCTCGACAACGTGTATGGTACTGGACGATTTATTGTTTTATGGGTGTGATAACTAAATGATGTTGGAGCAAATTGTAACGAATGCTTACTATTTGTTTTCTATGCGACACTAGGCTAGCTGTTACTCGACTGAACGCCAGTCTCAACACTATGGTGCAAGGTATATCAATCGAGAGGCTCGGTCATAGGAAAACTAGGTCTTGCAGCATAGTGGATAGTTTGTGTACTCGCGTGGTTAGTAGATTAGCCGTCACAATGACAAAACTGTTAATCGGATAGAATCATTCTGTCATGAGTGTCTGCTGACGGGCCCGAAGGCAAGCGGTAAGTATATTGCTAGTACAGTCTGTCTTTGAATCGTTTATTACAATCTTTAATTCAAAATGTTCAATACCTGAAAAACTGTGACAAAGGCCCACAAGAGAGTATCAAAGTTTTTTCTGTCGCAATCAAGATCGCCGTCTTCATCTTTCTTGCAGAATTTGCACCCGAAGATGTTCATACCGAGGATGCTGAACGTTACCACGCAATATACCATTAAATAAATGAACTTCGCTACATTTCCTTTGATATATAAGAGAGAAATGAAGATTATATCTAAATGATTGGTGAAATATACAAATAAATTAAATTTTGTGAAGAAGAAGCTCAAAGCGTGAAATTCTATTGGAAATAATATTAGTATGAAGGAACATTGTAAATAGTGTGAACAGTGGCAGTGTGTAGTAGGCAGAGTTAAAATATAAGTTAGAAATACAGGACAGTAGAAAGAAATAGGTGAAGTCACTCACAGTTAAAGTGCACGGGTTTAAATAATGCGGGTGTAACAGTTAAGTAGAAAATATTCATGTTAAGTTTTGATCCTTATAAATCTTCTTTCGCTATGAAACAATGAATTGCATGTAAAGCAATCGGAATAACCTTTGCTTTTTCTACGGAAGCAATTGTAACTACTCGAAGATATGATTTACAAATATTAGGATATAAGCAGTGATGGATGTTTTAAGAATTTTTTGATTTATAATAGGAAAGCGAGAAGTTATTTCAAATAGTCCTAGTATGTTTAGTGAGAAAGAAGTTTAAATCAAAATGTAGAAGACTTAACAGATTCCCCTGAAGAGTTGTAGAGACTAAAGTAGCAGTTTTATTTCATTTAAAAGATTATTTACAGTGTAATTTATCAAACTAAAGTTTTTTGTTTATTTCTTTTATTTATATCATGCAGTTTATTTATACTCTCTTTAAATTGACTAAATGAATTTACCCCATTTTATTTGAATCATAATAAAGTGTTAGATTGTTTATATTTACCTGAATATGAAGATAAAAAGAACGAGTAATGAAAAAAACACCGCCACATTATCCATCGTTCTGAGCATCACGAAAAGCTGTCTTCTTAAGTTTGGCATAAAGCGGACCAATTTTAATATCCTTAGTAAACGAAACGTGCGTAAAACGGACAGTCCCGAACTGCCAGCTAAATCGTGTTCGTGCCCCATACTCTGAGCTAGCTCAAAGGCGCTGTACGATAAATTGTTACTTTTCAAAATATAGCAAATGCAAAATATATTAAGATTTAAAAAAGGAGTCAAACAATACCTTAATATCACTATGATACCGTCAAACACGTTAAATCCATTGGAGATATATTTGAAGGGCCCTTCAGATATTATTTTAAGGATCATTTCAACAGCAAATACAGCTGAAAATACTACATTACTAATTTCTACGATGACTGTTAGTTCTTCCGGTTGATTGTGATACTCGATACCCATAGATAAGGTGTTTATCAGAATCGCCAATAGAATTCCTGGAATAATGATCGGCGTGAAATACTGGACGTAAAAAGTACAGATATACTGAAAGCTATGTAAAATTTACCTTGTTGAAAGTATTTGTGGTTAACGATCGCTTTTATGTGTTTTCTTAGTAAAGATAAAAATTTATTCAACCGTCTCCACAAAAGTGTGCAGGCTTTTGAAAATCTGTTTTTCTTCGTCTCCTTAGCTGCAGCATCTGCGGCAATGAGGTCGGCGCAGCAGGAAAAGTCTTCTATTTCTACAATCTGATGTGTATTATGTTAAGATATGTGTCATATGTAAACCTTTATAAAATAAGCCGCTACAGCATAACAGTATATGTATTAGTATATAGTGCCAGATCGCACCTCAATATTTGGCGATTAATTATTTGTGACCGAACCTCGATAAGTCTCATGTCTGAAGTGGCAATAGAGAGGTTGAAAAAGTACGACATTCTGACCTCAGTGGTTAAAATACTTGCTTTCATAGCGGAATTTTTTGGGTGTGCTGAATAAGCAACACTGCAGTCTTTTGTTTTTCATTTCTTTTTTCTTTACTACCAAACTACTTGTTGAAAGCTAAGCGCAAGGCGAAAATCTTTACTGACTCTATTTTATCTGAAGGTTCGACTCTACCTACATGGAATGAAATAGAAGGAAGAATTACCTTGGTATCTGATTTTTCATCTCCAGCACGTTTGCTTATCCCTTTAGTGAGCTCTTCGAAGAACGAGTCTAGGGCCACCTGACCCGTGGGCAAAGCGGCGGAGAGGGCACCAGATAGCGCCAGTAGTTCTTGGCACGACATAGTACCACCAGCAGCAGCGCGCTCCTCGGCCGAGTCTGCCGGCAGGTCGAATTCTACGACCCGCAAATAAGGGTCACTACAGTGCAATTCTACTATTTTCATATGCATTATCTAAATCGAGTCGTATACAACGTCCAATAGAAAAAAAATATACTGTACTCTTTCCGGTAATCTGAAAATCTATCTAGAATTTGGAGTAGTTTTATACACATGGTATTTCGTATACAAACGGTAATCGCATTGGTATCGAGCATGTTCTAAATGCTTATTTATTAAATATTACAAATATGTTAGATTAAAAAATAAATACAATTAGGAATAGGGATAGGTTTAAGACAGTACATGCTCGTCTAGATCTACTGTCTCTAGACTCACCACTTTGGCTCTTAAGCCAGTCACGTTGACTCAATGAATCTATAAAATTTGATTCATTAATAACATGGAAATGAAGTTGAGATTGCTGAGGAAGATAAGTGATTCAAAAGGAATGAGAATAGAAAGCTATTAGTTACGTACCAGTTTGCGTCATCTTTTCAGAAGAGCATACGTTGTTGGGGTGAGCCACGTGTGGTGAATTAGGTGTGTGCAACAGCACCGTGTCACTGAACATCACTGATGACCGACGTCGGGCCAGTGAAGGTGGCGATAATAGCGAGAGGTTCGAGGCATTCTGAATTAATTGTTCATATATTAAAGATACCATTTACATATTCTCAACACAGTGTACTAGTAAACTATTAAGATACTGTCTGTAGTTTACGCGAGTATAAGAAAAAGCTCGTCAAGAAAATTAAAGTCTAAGTAAGTTTAAATAACACTTAGACTTTTGATACGCAATATATATAATTAAACTTATTTGAAACGTTTCGGTTGCTTTGCAGCAGCCGTGGTCACGGGGAGACCTCCCCTTTAAATTAAATTTAAAATAAGTTTACCTAATATATATCGCGTTTTAAACCGTTAAAGTGTTTTATTTAAACTACTTAGACTTTAATTTTCTTGACGAGCTTTTTCTTATATACGTTTGAATAACCTTCATTAATAATGGGTCAAAAGCAAAGGCTATTTGTTAATGTTGTTCTGAAAATCTCACAGCATAAGTAATAGAAAAGATGTTTGAACTGAAAATTTACCTCTAAATCGGCTGCGGAGAGCGAGGGAACGCGCAACAGGCTAGGTCTACTCAGCGGTTCCTCAACATCGTCGCCGCTTTTGCCGTTGCCCTATTCAATTTGCATTCGTAAATGTCGTTGAATTTAATAGTATTGAATTCTTGGTTAACAAGAAAGAATTTAACCGATTAATTGTCGAGGTAAGATTAGTCTTTAAAAATGTATTAAAAGCCTTACTTAAAGTATATGTTTTTTTAAGACTAATATGACCTCGGTATACTCTTGTTTAACTTAAAATCCTTGGTAAAGCAAGATGAAAAATTTAAATTTAAAATCGCTTGAAGACATCCAACATTCATTCAGACGAGTTGCTTGTAAGTAAAATATTGTTAAAAAATCTGACTCAAAAATCATACTAAAGTTTTAGAACGAATTTCTATGTAACAGTTATAACAAATTTGACATCCTATTTTCACGTAAAATAACTTTAGATCCAAAGTTCGCTTCAATACTAAAAGGCTGTGTAGGGGATTGTTTACAATTACTTACCTGTGGATGGAGTTTCGGGCAACGCGGGTGGTGCTGTTTCGGTCGATTAGCTGGCAACTGCAAAGTTTCTCTACTTGTTCGCCACTGTAGTTGAGCGCGCTGATATCGGTACACCCTTAATAGTGAATTTAAAAAAATATTACCAATGTTGTTATAAAAAAATATATAATTTGATTTTCTATTTTTACAATATTCACGATAACGTTCTTTGCTTCAGCGCTACAAACTCAACTCAGTAGAACGGCTTATAGTTTACTACGTTCTACTAAGTAGAGTAGTATATTATACTAGAAATAGTAATTCATTCATTCATGTTATATTCTAATTCTGACAAACTTTCGTTAAGTAATATAGTAGTTGTATGTATATAGTGATTTTGTAGTATAGGTATTAATTTATACACATAGACAATAAGAGTATTTGCCAGTTAGCACTTAGTTTGATCTGAAGTTATTAATTCAACATATAAGAATCCTAAAACAAAACTTACTACCCTACGTAAATAAATTGACTTTGATTATTGACATTAACATATATAGTTGTGTAAAGAAGTGAAAACCTTATTTTCTTAGCCATTCTTCGTTTGAATCTTCGCCACAAATGTGCGACGTATTTGACTATTTCCGCATAACACGTGGCCGGTTCGCTGTTGTTCGTCGAAGAGGCGAGGGTAGAGGATGATGTAAAGCGGGCACGTTCCGCACGCATTCGTTCCATTTCACGTTTCTTGGTTTCACTGAATTGAGTTGCGATTACGACGAGGCATAGGTTGATCATGAAAAATGATCCAATCTAAAATGTGACGGTAAAATATGATTTAGTTTATGAGCTGTTGGCCTGAAAGATCTGTAACTTAAAAATATCAAAGCTTTTTAACGTATTCATGACTTTTTATGCAGTAATAAACTTCACGTATGTCAAGTATGAGAAATATATAAGATCAAATGTACTTACGACGATAAGCAAAACAAAATAAATCCAGTCCCAAAAACTGTGCGCGTCTTGTACATAATACATGATATCCGTCCAACCTTCCAGAGATATTACCTAAAAAGCCGATAAATTGGATCACCAATAAATTTCACTTTTTACAACTTTCCGCGAGCAAAAAAGGAACTTACCAGAAATATGGCGACCCAAGCGAGACCGATGTTATCGAAGGAAATCGTGCCTTGGAATGGATTTGATCCTCGTTGGGTACAGTTTGTGTAATACTGATTCCAGTTAACGCATGAGGTATTTGTGGGAGTGTTATATGAGAATGATTTTGCCGTCTCGTTACACACAACAGGTCCGTATCTGTATGGAGGGAAGTTTCCACATTGATGCATCCCGCTGTCTGCGGGCGTCGTACAGATGTAATCTAGCTCTTTCGAGAACTCGTAGTAGAAGGAAATGCTGTGAGAAATCAAAGATAATGAAATACACACGGGCCCTTAATTCGTTGCTCAGTTATACTTTGCGTTAATATCGTAAATTGTGGTTAAAATATTAAATGTTATTCTCGTGTTGTTTAAGTTTTAAGTTAATTTTAATATAAAAACTTAATATATAATGGATAAATGTGCGTTACTAAAGCATTCAAGTGATTTGATACTTCATGGTTTCAAAACGATACACTGAGCGACCCAATTATCCTAATTTAAGCTTTATTATAAATCATGCGAGTTAAAACGTTGAATGGCACATTGAAAGGGCATGCAGACAATGAAAGCGAAGGGTAAGGACGAAGGTAAGAGTAATTAGTAACGGATTTCAATGTAATTGGCGATTAGGGATTATTTGGAGTAAGGTGAACGCCGGTTGTAAATTGGTTTGGTTATATAGGACTTGGTGGCACTATACAAGCCACGTTGTTAACTGGCAATTCAGAATGCATCTCTCTTAGTTTATGAGTTGTAACACAAATTATTGAATAAGTAGTGTTAAAACCGTGTAATATTTACGCACGTAAACATGAAGATCTGTTATTAAGTATGCATGTATTTCTCGATTAAATAAAATTATAGATGTGCTAGTCCCATCAAAATAATAATAACGAACTAACTCAATGTAACTACGTCAATTGAGATGGCATAAATAAAAACAATAACGCCGCTGTAGGACTGTGAATGAAGTAAAGTGTTGTAGACACAACTGTCGTGTTTCGAAACAAACTGGCAGTTTAATGTGTACTTGAATGCGAAATTAAGATGAAAGATGAGTAACGTGTTGTGAGTTAAATTAAAACTGCCAGTTTGTAGAGGGAAGCAGAATTGATACAAAAGCACATCTGGACGGCAGATGTGTAGAGGTACACGATACAACAAATCTGAACATCTTTAAGAGAAACACATATTTTCCGAAAATCTTACGAGTTCACTCTGACGCGCACTCTGTACCATTCGGACAGGTCTCTGGAACACAAATTAATGAGGTGGTGACGAGTGTCATGTTCCTAATGTCTACATTTCATTACATTATCTATCTTCAAACAATATCAAAAATGAATCTCTCTTAACTCGGGAGAGAAGAAGAGACACATCTTTGAGTTATTCTTATATAAAAAGTCTTACTGGTAAATTCATACAGTTCTGAATACTAAGAACTCTGTTGAGTGTTTAGTTCGTGTAGAGTTCTAAATGCAGGTAGAATATTATTACAATCCAACTTTCGCATCAAAATGGATCATGCGAGTGTCGGCGAATTGTATTTCATGTGAGTATCGACGGAATGCAATATTTAAGTGTTAAATGTAAGATTAACATGTGCATTGTGTTAATATTGATAAGTTAATGTTAAATGAAACACAGGCCTGAGGTTTGGCCATGTCGATATTAACAAAACGATCCCGTTCGAAATTCGAAATGTATGGGATCGAACACAATTTTAGGCTGCTAGAGGCAGAGTGGCCTAATAACAAAAAACGTGATTAATTATTTATTAAATAAGGAAGAAAATAGGAAATGTTAACTATTATTTGTGTAAGAATTATGTTAACAATTTTCGGTCACTGTGTTCTTGTAGATAAAGACTATAAAAAAATATAATCAAGTCATAAAATTGCAGCTAGGCTACTCTGGCTCTAGCGGCCTCATTTAATCATATGTCAATCCAATACGTTTTCTCTTTTCGAACTTAGGTATCGTTTTGTATTTGTCAGCTGGCTGCGGCTCTGTAAGTGCTTGTTGTGACGTAAGCATTAAATATTGCATGCAGTCAACAGTAGCAATGGAACGTGCTTCTAAGACGAGCGATCTCGAGCAAATGGTATGAAATAAAAAACTCATTTCACTGCTATTTATTCAAAGAGCTTCTGAAATTCATATTCTGTTTCCGTTATTCAATTGTTGGACTTTCTGCGATGCCTTATTCGAGGTGAAATATGGCTTTTTTACTAGATACATTGTACTAGAAAGAATGAAAAAATCGTACCTAGCGGCATGAACGGGCGTATACATAAAATTCATTCGTTTTAAATACTTTTTTTTAACATGTATATAAACTCTTATTACTCGTGATTTTTATTGGTATCGTAACATTCATAGTAACATTGCTACAATGTATCAAGTATGTTGTGTAAGGGCTTATATATATTAATTTAACGTACTTGGGTCGAAGCACGTTCGGTGGCAAAACAAGTTCACATCGCTGCCTTAGAATCCCTTCCCACAGTTGGACACCAACGATGCCGAATATGAAGAAAACGAAAAAGCACAGTAGCAGAACGTTGCCCAACATTGGTAATGTGTCTAGAAGTAGCATTACCAGGATACGCATACCTGTGAACAATTACTTTATAGATAAGAATCAGGAAACAGGGGGAAGGAATTAATAACTTAACCTAACAGTTATTACACCAAAATTCAGTAAACTTTAATATTTTTCATATGTTATTATTGCACATAATGGCATAATATAATATTAAAATCGATTTGATATTAAAAAAACTACGTCACTGGCGGGACTTGAACTGGCATCCACTGCGTTCCGTGCTGCTGCTCTAACCAATTGAGCTGCAGTGTCCTACACGTCATCGTCGATTTTTTTACCTATTGATAAACGCACCTCACGCGCAATGTATTTTTTTCAATCTAAAACCAATTTTAATTTATTTAATGCCATCATGTGCAATTTTTGTGTTTTTTAAACGTTAAACTCTGTAATTTCACCTTCAATGATTTTCTTAAACTGCAAAGTTCTAGTTCGAGTTGATAATATTTCGCAAGAGTTGCATGTACGAGAATCATTGAGTTCAAGAAATTCGATTATTTGTAATTAATATAGGAATTAAAAATAATCGAATTAAAGATTAATTAATCATTATTATAGATGTAACTTGTTATAATATTCGATTTTTATGGTGTGTGTCTTTGTTAACTTGTCTTTTAGAGTCTTAATAATCTCCTTGTTATTTACTTAATAAAGCTGGTTGTAAAATTGACTATTTCATAAGCTACATTTTATTTAGTCGCTTCAAAGTGTAAACAGTAAATCGGTGGAATAAATAGCTAGTGGACAAATTAGTGGGTATGTTGCCTCTACCCGCGCGGAGCGTGGATTTAATTAGCGGCATTGCATTGTACCGCCACTCGCTAGTTTCCAACTCCCCGACGAGATTTAAACTTTACCACGCGTCTTTTGTTTGAACCCACAACTAGCTATTTGCAAGCAGTCACTGTGGAGTTGCGATTTATGGAAATTCACAAACGGATTATTGTTTTTAATGTGGTATATCAAAAAAGATTATTTTTAGATACTGTCTATAGTTTACGCGAGTAGTGCACATTTAAATAAAACACTTTAACTATTCAAAACGCGGTATATTAGTTAAACTTATTTGAATATGATTTTTAACTTCGGCCCGACGTTTCGGATGCTTTGCAGCAGCCGTGGTATCGCGTTTTAAATCGTTAAAGTCCTTTATTTAAAATTATTTTATGTTATTTCGTAGATAAGTCGTGCGTTTTTTTTAAAACATAAAATTAAAAACTTTCTCATGATGGCATATATTATCTATAAAATAAAACGTGTCACGTGACAATCCTTAATTGTTCACACGGTAAGCCCCGCCGGTGTTGGTATTTTTTTTTTCAATCTAAATAGATTTTTAATTTTATTATTATTGAAATTTCAGTACCCCCAAACAGTGCTAAGATAAAGTAAGTTTCATTCATTTTTGTACTCGGCCAAAAAGTCCAATAAACGAGAGCCCTAATTATAATGTAATGTTGTTTGCAAAGCGTCTTCACGGTCGACCTTGTTTATGTTTGATACTCTAAAATACTTATCAAACATCAAATCAAATAATAATCAAGAAATTACAGTCAATTACTTCTAGAATTTTCTAGTTTAGTGAGCGTTTTGTATTATTCCCCTTTAATAGTAAATAAATTTATGTAAAATACATTGAAACGTAAGCTATATTACAATTGATTACCTATCTATAACGATCATAGCTATATAGTCTGTATTTCCACCTGTATATATTATAATTAATTTGCACCAATCTCGTTACTACTGACAAAAGCATAAACAGTTATATTTAAACAAATTTGATAATGGTAAAGGTCGGTTTCATTATATAAACTTTATATTAGGTGTGGGAAATAAATTATGCACTCGATTCCTCTATGGACCAATTACAATAAAGAGATTAATTATCGTAACCATTTTATTGCGAAGGGTTAATACAAATGGTGAATTATTGCTTGAAGTATTAATCGAGTTTTCTATTAATTAGGGTAAAGGCAATAAAGAGTTCAAATGTAATCGGTTCATATGATAGGTATTTTAAATATAGGGCTTTTCGTAATTGATACTAAATAATGTTAAGTATTATTTACGTTAATTTTTTGATCAGTTTCTAAGTCTTCAATAAGTCCGCCTTTGTGGCTTAATGGTTGGACGTTTCTGGTTTTGACGTTCGGGGAAACATAATATACAAATTCAGTCATGGAACAAAAGTTTACATTTATTATAATTTGTAAAACAACAGCAATAACTTACTTGGTATTCTGTTTATAGCTCTCAATGGTCGTAGTACCCTTATTGTTCTTATTGCTGATAAATTAATATTTTCCACATTTAAGGCATATTCCAGTGCTCTGTAAGTGAACATTACAAGTTAGCAAATAGATTTATGTAATATAATTAGATATTAAGTGGCGTGAAAGGCAGGCTTCAAATGTTTGACTTATCCTGGTAAAAATATGTATAAATAAAAGATACTCTATGTATATAAATAGAATAACAGACCCAGCAAAAACAATGAAAAAGTCCAGCCTATTCCAAGAATCAGCTAAATAGGTTCCGTGGCCGTATACTCCCATCGCCACCATTTTTATCGTCATCTCCAATGTGAAAAATGCAAATATTATGTCATCGAACACCTAAAAGTAAAGATTAATATTAATATTTTAGTATCTATATAAATCGTTTCATCGTAAAATATACTAATACATATGTATTTGCAGCGCAAAGAGTTCCATCTCTTTCGCGCCAAACACTTGACAAGAATTATAGATGGCCAGTGTTATCTAAAACTTCCAAGATCATAATTCAACCACAGGTAAATAAAATTCGTAAAACGTACCTTACATGAAGTTTATATACAGTATAGATGGCCAGTATTATTTTATCTAAAAACTCCAAGAATTATGATTCTAGCGACCACAGATGAATAAATGTCAACGTACCTGTAATATTTTACACCTATTTGTTACGCATTGATCATCCACGCATGGTTGATACATGCCAAGAGTGACACAGTTTAACAGGATCACCAGCATTGATACTCTTTCAAACCATGTGCATTGGAGTTAGGGGTAATTATGGAACACATTTCTCTGACTTATTCAAAGTTATGAAATAAGTATAGTCAGTCAAGTTGGCTAAGTGAAACTGTGGGGATTTATAATGTGTCCCCTACATTATAAACATCTGTTTCTGTGAAATATACTGACAGTCTAAATGCGTCTTTTAATTACGTACTACAATTAACTTTTCACTTAAATATCTAACTAATCGTATATAGTTAGAAAAAATAATTTCCATTATGAAAAAAATGCGTTACAATTAGCCAACTTCTTTTGTTTTTTACTATTTTAGACTCGACTTATACCTAATAAATAAATTGTTAACGACTTGAGTCTTTGAGACTTCACTGTAGCAAAGTTGCAGGGTAAATGTTCTTTAACAAACTTTATAGACTCCTCTGAGATGGGTTAATAGATAACTTGAATTTTTAATTAAAAGTAAAGTACCCTCGAGTTTATTTAATTGAGAATCTCGGGATCGTTTGCGCTTCGACTCTCATTGGTGCTGTTAACTTTGTAGATTGGAACACCTTACACTTAAATGTGAAACTAATTTTTTTACTCTTTTATTTATTGTGTGTAACATGGGACAACACATCTGTGTGTCTGTTTCATTTCACCGCCCTTGACTAAAACTATTTATTACCTTTTTCGGGGAGTCAAACCTTTCTCGCTTTTTCATTGAGCTATGAAAGCAATCCCTATTTTTACTTAATTAAGTAAATATTTTGAGGGAAATTTAAAACTGACCTAATGAATGATATTAATCTATTAAAGAATTAAGAATGAAATCGACATCAAAGAATTCCGCAGTCAAAATTGCTGACTGTATAAAATCTTGATCTTCCAGTCTCCTGGTGATTTTATTAAGTTTGAAATATAATACGTTTCTTTTGAAATGTCTTAAATACGAAAGATTAACTTGGCGTCTTTCCAACTAATAGCGATATCAACATCGTTTTACTTGAACAAGCAGAACTTGTGATAAAACTGTTTTGGACGTATTTATTAGTTGAGTTATAACTTCTTAAACACACAGTAAGTAAAATACGCATAATGCTTAATATAAACGACTTGAAAAATCTTCGTGACTTTGGTTTATGTAGTGGGTCATAGTCAAGTTAATAATGACAAAGCAAAAGGTTATTTGCGAAAAGAGGTCCGTTTATGTATGGAGATTAAAGTTTAGCCAATCTTAGCCGATCTCGAATAATGATAGATTATAGTCCATATTTGTATAAAAATTATGGACCTAAGTTTGTTCGTTTGAACGAGCAAATCTCAGGAACTACTGGTTCCAATTGAATAATTATTTTTGTTTTCAATAGACCATTAATCGAGGAAGGCTTTAGACTGTGGAAAAATGGGATAAAATATTCGATCTTAAAGGGCTTCAGTTGTGTGGATTGCGACAACGGTTCTAGAAACCAAATAAATATGCGTGAAATAATATTTCCCGTTTAAATTATCTAAAAAATCTATTATTTAAGATAAACTTGCAAAGAATGACGGGACGCGGACGACGTCGTGGGAAACAGCTAGTCATTTTATATATATCAACAAGGCTATCGAGTTTAATATGGTCTCGACTTTGCCTCTGTGCGACTTGCGTTTTCACTTCCTTACTATTTATACGTAACAAAGACACAATATAAAGATTGAATATTTCCAACAGGATCACCTTTTTACGGGGCTGGGGGCGGATGTTTCGCATTACCAGCTTCAGATATCAAAGAGTTTGCTTCGCTTGCGCTTTGAAGATATTTACCCGCAAACTTAATCACCTCGCCGTAAAGTAGCAGGAAATGACGTTTGCTTGCTCAAAGGATATTCTTAAAATTTTATTTTCGTAATTCAATTTGCTTTATTTTTGGACAGTAAAGTGTTATGTGTATAGTTTGAGTGAAAACTTAAAGGGGATAAGTATTTTTATGTTTACGTAATAATATACATTATAAACAGTCAGCTTTTGTAGCTGAATGATTTAACGTATTGGCCAGTGCGTTAAGCTCGGGAAGTCTTAGGTTTAAGCCCCAGGGAAACAACCTATTGTTCTTCTGGAGGAGTCAAATCAAGGAGGTACTTGTCTGTAAATAAAATCGACTAAAACCAGAAACAAAAATGTGTTCGCCCCGTGTCCTTCGGAGTGAAATGGGATTTCCTTAGTAAATATTTTTTTATGAGCAAGTACTGATTTTCTTAAACTTAATATATAAAAAAATCGAGGTCTAGTTTATCTGATAGTACTGAATTTTGTTACGTTAAACGTTTGGAAAACAGGAAAATATAATAATTTCGGTTGGTAGGACACAAATCTTATAAATAAAATTCGATGAGTGAATCAGACAAGAATATGTGTCTACCCTATGAGTATAGGTTAACGGAATTTCGTTTTATATAAAGAGATAAAATTAAGTTACTTAGGTATATACTTTTACCAAATTTATTGTTATGTACTTTTTAATTGAAACACGTAGAAGATTTTCACGTTTTTATCGTTAAAGGCGTTTCATTCATGGTAGAACAAAATTGATGTGGGTATTCCGACGTCTTTGATAACGCTATTAACATTATTTATCATTTGGAGGGAAAAAAGAGAGCTTTCACTAAATTTCGATATCTCCTGTTTGCTGAGATCAAAATGATCGACGTTCCCTCAGACATCTGACACCGACATTGACTCCGCTTGGCTCCGAACGCTCATAAAAGTGTCGTTAAATATCCCGAATGTTTACCTCCGTGCCGAGGTTTCTTTGCGAAACGCGACCGATCTTAAATGTTTCAAATCGCTCCTGGTTAATGGCTTCAGTGCTTCTCGGTGATTGCCGCTTTAGCGTTACGTCACCAGATTAGAATCATTTCTTATTAGCTATTGCTTCTAAGCAGTTAGTCTAGTCTAAGTCTAGTTCCCATAGCTGGGTCTCTCCTTGGATTGATGCGTAATGAAAAACAGAACATTAGTAGATAACTATTTCTTCCTTTTGCCTGATAGACTGTTCCAAACCGTTAACATAAGTCAATTAGCTGATGTATGAGGAATGAAGTATTTCGGGGAAATATGATTCCCATAAAAACGGTTTTTGTGAGCTAATCTTGAAAAAATTACATATTTAAATTTTTATCTTAAACTAACTGTTTTCGCAGCGCACACAACAGAAATCCTCAAATATAACAATAATAATAATCAACCCTCATTCTTTATTCGTCATTCTTACTTCTTCATCCATCATTCCCTCTCCATTTTTCCTCTGTTTCTTCGCCTCCTATTGGACGTAGCCAGGTGTTTCTCAGCATAAAGCCTTCCTCGTTAAATGATCTACTAAATAAACTTTCAATTCGATTCAATAGTTCATGAGATCAGCGTATTCAAACAAACTCTTCAGCCGTTGAATATTATTATAGACATTTCTGATGCACTACCGGATTTACAAATAACTGACCTGGTGATCAATGCCTGTGCTGTTGATATTTAGATTAACCATATTAAGATCACACCTAACTCTCGGGTCCGTACTATTAACCTTTTTTTTAAATCCTCACAACCTTTCGCAAATATCGCGTTAAAAATATCATGTAATGAATTGGAAAATTTTCCGCTCACTCGTTAATTTTAAAGGAAGTTTACATCTGGCTTGCTTTATATTGGGTGTAGGTATGTGCGAAATATTGATTTTGTATCGCCATACATTCTTATTTGTTAGATATATGTTTTATTGAGGTAAACATCCTTGCCGGATTATAGTAACTATGTACATATATACAATGCTGTTGGATTCTATTGCAATATATTATAATCACTATAATTAGATTTAAAAATAAAAAGAAAGTAAAAATAGGCGCAACACATAAACACATTGCCTAGCAATGCATTTAAAACGATAGGTAATATGTTTGAATCCTAGATAAACAATTGACAGACTCGTTGGTAGCTAGCAGCAAATGGTAGCATTGTACTAATAATTAATTATGGGCCGTGAGATAATTCCGTAAAGTGTAATCCGCGTTCCGGTTTCAGTCTGCGGATTTCTTAATGTCAAAGTCAAAATTGATTGACAACGCGTCTTATTTAAATGTTTTATGGCTTGGAACCAAGTGAAACCCGGCTTTACTTCTTCAGAAAAAAATCACGGTTGAAATGTTACAAATTCCCATTTCATTTGTCATAATATGGGACGCGGGTTTATGTTAAAAGAATAAAAGGTCAATAAAATTCTGCTAACGACCTTTCCAAAAACAATTTGCGCGTTTAAACGGACACGTAATATTGAGGAAGTTAGTGCGCTGCCAACTTTTTATGTTTACGTAATTATTTCAGGAACCGACACAGTTTTCATATAAATCGTGCAAATTACAAGTTCGTTTAAAAGGACTCGGCAAGGAACAAGTCTAAACTACTTAAGAATTGAATTACAAATAAGATATTGTGTATTTTCGGATTAAATTGAATTAATATTGGAACATTTTTGATAGCCTTTGCTACTACTACCACTTGGCGACTCTTAATTAAAAAGAGTGGCCGAGTTGAGCGAGTTAAAAATAAATAATTTGTTAGAAAACCTCTTCTTATTATCGATATCAAGCAAAAAAATACATTTAAATGTAGAACGTTTAAACGATTTTAAAATCCAAATGTAATAGATAGCCATAAGGCATAGCCTGCTGCAAAGGCTTATTAAAAAAATGCGACTAAATTAATTGTGTTCTATTTAAATGTGTACTCCTCGCGTAAGCTACAGACAATACTAGAAAATAATACATTTATTGTAGCATAATATATTACACTTGAGACTATTTTTACGTGAAAGTCCTTGCAATAATATCTAAGGATTATATTTTACAGACTATTTAAAGCTCAATATGGCCTATAATTATTATAAACAAATTTTGGCTTATATTATTAAATAATACAACTCTAATTTGTTTCAACCAAGTAAAAAACACACATTGAATTTTGTCACGAAATAGAAACCACT